GTCAATCTGGGTCTTAATTACAGTCCTCTCGATACAAATCTATACGTGAAAATGTCACAATTCACAGCATAGACGTCTAGCCAAAATTTAGGCGTGTCACTGATAGAGGAAGGAGGTTCGGGGACGTTGCTTGAGTGGAATGAAGGGGGGTTACCGTGTCGTGGTTTAGTGCCAGTGCATGACAAGAGTAAGCCCTTAGACTTCTTTAAGATGGAACCGGACGCGCCGCGCCATATTGCAGGCCGTACCCAGCTTTGAGGTGGGCAGTACACATTAAAGTCGCCCTCGAGTCAACCTATCGCACAGTGACGGTGATGAGAGGGTAGAGGATCATTTCAACGTGGAGCATTGAACATTAAGCGCTGACTAATTCAATAAAGTAATTGTATAAGTTTAACTAGACACCCCGCATATCAAGGGTTGAATACGCCACTGGAGCCTGTCTCGATAGTGGTACTTTTTCTTCTTTGAATACGCCACTCGAGAAGAGCTCGATGGTGGTACTATAAGTGAAATGATTACCTTGGACAACGAAAGAACTCAGCTGATGGATCGGCAATGTTTTTAAGATAAGAAAGTAGTATTGAATGATAACCTGATCCTACCAAATTCGCATAAATAGCAGCCCTAACCAATTTGTTTCTGTCGTTCTGGTAGCTCCTGGTAGCTCCCTCTAACCTGCGACTTCTCCCTTCTGAATTTCAAGAAAACTTCTGCTGGTCAGAAACTTGGCCCTGCAAGCAACTCTTTATTGTTACCACTGCGGGGATGAAGCCCTAATGTTGTAGTGAATATGAAGAGATTAGGTACAAAATTCTCCAAAAATTCTCTTCCAGAGTTTGCTGAGACTTTTCAAAATTTTCGCCATGAAACAATCATGAACATGGCAGGAAACGCAATTATTTTGAATATTCCTGTATTAATTTCAGCCTAATCTTTGGCAGATTGTTCCAAAATAATCTCAGCTACAATTTTTCACAAAATTCTCAGAAATTTCAGCCTATTCTTCATGAGAAAAGTCCTTCATCCCCGCAGTGTACACAATCTCTCATATACTATGATGTGCTTGCACACCATCTTGTCGCAGTCTTTCATCGGAGCGATTGTCCTGCTTGTGGTTGTTCACGCCATGCCGACAGACCCCTCGAAACTGAAAGCAGCTGCACCTGTGCCATTAGGAGTTATCAACCCTCCAAAGAAAGATCTATGGTGGCCACTGTTAGATCAAACGGTACGTGTCCACTAGAGCTCTCCCAGTTTCAGTGAATGAAGTTCCATCAACGTAGCATGCCCCTTGGTTGAAGAAGATTGACCTTGACCCGAAAAATCCGGAAAAGCGCTGGGAGTGTGGAGAATCATGTGACAAGAATACCGAAGTTTTTGGTAAGAGTCATTGCTTTTCTATAGCACGGAGGGTTTAGCAATGATAACGGCATGTTCCGTGGCTCTGTAGCAACTGACTTCACGCGGAAGATGCTCAAAGCAAAGTCGATGGTCCCAGGGAACTCTGGAAAAACCAACTTGGGTATCTTCACTCTACCGCATGAAGTCAGCGAGTTCAAGTCGATTTTGGGAGATGAAACAGTCTTGAAATTGGTAGATTACAATTGGGAGGGTTCTTCATGTGAAGTCTTTGCCCTTCGGAAATTCGCAGAATTTCAGACAGCCAAAGGACAAACACCTACGTTTGTTACCAGTGGCTTTGTGAAGTTTAAAGATCCCCCTAGAAAGAGTGGCCTCGTTGTCATGCGCAAAGTCCCTGGAATGCCGCTGAAGGGTACAAAACAGTGGCAGGAGGAGGGGGGTCAGAGGCAGGAAATGGTAGACAAAGTCTTCAAAAATATCGCGGACTTTGATTACGAACTCATCCAGGTAACTGGTTATGTTCATGTGTAAGACCAGTCTTTCTACCCTTCCAAGTTTGGCAAAAGCCCTTAACTTGTCTCAGTGACTTTTCCTCAGGAAATTTTCTAGTTGATGCAGATATGAACATCTACCCGATAGATTTTGGTGCACCGTCTATGTACCCTATAGAACGTATACCCACTCGCAGTGAATTCGTGAGTATACCGAAATACACATTGTTCCACCTGTTTATCAGTTTCTCACACAGGATGCTTGGTTTTTGAAGCGATTTGACTATATATGGCACACACAGGGTGGAAAACTGCAACTCACCCACTTGATTTCACCGAAGAAAACTTTGACATGACCAATTTGAGTGGCATCTTCGATGTACTGTTCGTTCCGACTGATATTAATGAATTCCTGGGCACCGTTGGCTGGTGATTACAAGTAAAGCATGCAGTTGCTGTGTTCCAGTAACATATGGCAATTCGGGTCGGAAATAGTAATGGCTGGGTGCGGGGGGAGTCAGCTGGTCAAAGATCTCGGTTATGGGTCGTCAGACGCACGGTATATTGCACTTGTATTTGTGTTCGTAGTCTCTGATCCAAGGTACAGTAACCTCTTTTGACTATGTAGAAGTCCGGAATTCTGGCGTGAGCTTCAGGGTAGTAGTCGATAGTCATCCGCGGAAATGCACCATCCCAGGTAGTACATAGGTGTTACGTGGAAGCAGGTCAAATCAAAGACCCCTTGTCGCAATGGAGGTTCATTGAGCGGAAGGAATTTGCCATGAGAGCATTCCCTGTCCAGGATGGAAATCAATTAGTTATGTAGGGTCTGAAGCTGCCGTTCGCGCGTACGGAGTATTACCTGAGGTTGAAGCTATTGAAGCACAGATGATATAGAGCTCTGCCCTTCAAAGTGGAGCCGATCCTTGGGCTCGAGCTTGGAAGAGTCGTAGGCATGTGAGAAGGAGCTAGTCGCGAAGGTCATCGGCTGGAATGTACCATCCCAGATAGTAAAGAGGGGTTACAGGAAAGTAGTTTTGACCAATAATGCTTCATAGCAATAGAGGTTCGCCAAGCGGAAGACATTTGGCATGAGAGCATTTCCTGAATATTATATGGTCGGGTAGAGGTAGACAAGTTTCACATTAATATCATACTTTGTGACCTCTTTCGTCCAAAAGGTCGCCATTTCGCCTGAATAGTAGTCGAGAATCTCATCCACAGGAATGTTTATTGAGCGGAAGGAATTATTGCATTAATGTTGATGCGAGGTTCTGATGGATGGCTTCGAGCTCAAGAGGAATTCGGTGCGAATTTAACACTTGCTGATTTTCGTTCGACAGTTTCTCGGACAGTAAATAGGCTCCCCAATCGATGATCGTCTTGTAGGAGTATGCATAAGAGAGGACGATATCCATGGATTTTGCCGCTAGTGCAAGTGAAAGGCTAAAGCCCTTGACCTCTTGAGTGTTTCAAACGCCTCGACTTCTCTCCGCATGTCGCCGGCGAGACCCGTAAAACGCTCTTAGCAAGGGGAAAGTGCGGGTAAAATTCCTTATAGACTTTGTTGTTGAGAACACATGAATTATATTCCACATACACACCAAACTTCTTTGAACCTTGAATTTATACAACATCGTTATTACCTTCTCTCTAAAAACAATTCCCTGTACTTAAACCTACAGCCGCGCTAGATTGGCTGGACGACTACAACGAAGGACAGCAGCTCTTCTCATGCTCATAGAGGGTGGACCGAGACGGGAGCTTACGCGGCGATGAGAGTCTGGAGCTTGCCACTTCTGAATGCGGCTTGGGTGGCGTCGTTACCTGGAGGAGGAAACAAGGTAAGGGAGAAGTTCGGGCAGTAGACAGTGTAGAATAGTCATACCACCAATGTGCTGCTTGTCTAGAAAAAAATAACAAGAGCTATCAGAGAATGTCTCCGTGCATGAAAGTGATAGCTACTCACTGACAAAAATATTCGGGACAGTTCGTTGGCCGGTCTTCTGAGCGAGATATGATTGGATCTCAGCGCCTTCTTCCATTTCATCTAACCTAAGAACGTGAACGTATATAAGCACACGATTAACGACGCGAACAAATAAGAGAGACGGCGGAAAAATGATGAAAGTGAGTAACGGATAACGAAGGTGACGCGATAATGACGAAACGAAAGGGAAAGACTATGAGGTGGACCAAACACGTACTCGAAAATCTTTGTGGGCACATCCGGATACTCTTTCTCGAAAAGTGACTTGGCAGCTCTGCAGTAGGGGCACCAGCTCTTGGAGAAGATCGTGACAGTGTTCTCGTCGATGGAGGACTAAGAGCATATGTCAAGGAAGAGTTGGTGGATGTATAGTAGCGAGCGTTATATGTCAATTTCCGATATATGGCCGATGGCATCAGAGCGATTCCGATATAGCGGAAGGGGGAGAAACAGAGATAGAAATGATTATGAGCCACGAAGCGCATCCTACCTGTAGCGGAAGGACACTCACGTTAACAAGTTCTTGAACAGCCATTATCTTCAATTGATTCTTTGATGGTTTTGAGGACGATGCTTCCAGAGGCTCGAAATTTGAGTGGGATATGGTGGACGTTCAGATTTTACAACGAGATTGTGGTAGTACTGGGATAAGGATGACTGAGCCTTTTAAGAAGGTCACCCGAAGAAAATAATGGTGTCATGGAAGGTTCGTTGACAGCTCACGTGGATATTCATAATCGAATTAGTGATTCGGATCGGCCTTCCGTCTTCTAGCCTTCTCCTCGTTGTACTTCTTCCCGCACTACTTGCTCGTCCCGTTCTTGCCATTAGGATTATGTGGCAGGCATGTTATCAAGGTGTCAGGATCTTAAGCCTTCAAAGCAGTGCGAAAGAACTGTCAGACACCTCCGGTCAGCGAATAATTGCTTCCTTAGGTCAACCAGTACTAGTAGAGCGCGAGTCTCATACAATTAGTGCAAGGTGTTGTAAATGGAAAGAGCTGTAAATGGAATTTATGTAGTGGCAATTAGTGGCAAATGAAGTTGGAGCCTTGCAGGCAGCAATAACCCTTCAGAAATCTGTAATTCTTTACCTTTTGCTATTAGTATCAGATGTTGCAACGACTGTACGCGCACAGAAGCAAAAAACACACATGATTCAACCCGGGATCGAACCGGAGACCTTCTGTGCAAAGTGTAACGGTTTTGAGAAGTGTAAGACAGATGCGATAACCACTACGCCATTGAACCAATACCATTGTGCCCTCACTTTAGGATGATATAGTTGTATATGTTCTTGACTTATCTATTGCCCTAATTTTCGAGTAAAGACATTCACATTGAGATAATGATCTGCACTAAGGGAGTGGTGTAAATGTAGATAGATAGATAGATTAATACACGGCACCGTCTCAGAAGACGGGGTCCCGTCTCGGAACAGCCGGTTACGGTAGGACAACAACAGCGAGCTCAACCCGCAGAGAGGAAGGTAGACTACTGCCGACGTACCGCGCACGAGTGAGAGAGTGCCAAACGAAGACAAGCAAGAGTACGAGTACGAGAGAGAAACAAGAAAAAGTCAAGCAAGAATACGAGTACGAGAGAGTAAAGAGTCTATGAGATAGAGTATTCATCAATAGAGTTCTCATAGATAGAGCACGGGTACGAGAATGAGTGTACGAAAAAGCTTGAGAACAGGAGAGAGTATCACAGAGAGCATAAATACGAGAACGGTCCTCTCAGTTACACGAAGGTAGTAATGTGCACGATGAGAACGTCGAAATTTCAATGTAGAAGAGTGACAGCGGGCAGGAGCAATCGGGATCAGGCTATGTTGAGTCGTCACCCACACTTCCGTTCGCGGGGTGGTCATCGTTCTGTTCGGCAGGAGGGAGAGAAGGATGCAGAGATGACCAGTGTACAGCAGCCTCGTGGATGAAGCATGCAGTACGAGAGGTGGAGGACGCATTGAAGATGAAGTGCTTGAGATAGTGGAGAGCTTCTGAGTTTGAGAATAGGCGATTACGAGGAAGAGGGAATGAGGGCGATATATCGTCAAGAAAGGCAGTCCGCAGGCCAACAATTGTGTGGTCTGCTGCACATTGGAGGAAGATGTGTTGAGGGGATTCTGGGTGGAAAGGTGACTGACATGACCGGCACTGTTTTGTGGGCACCTCTGTTGGTAGCAAGGGATCAATTCTTGCTGGCGATGACCGGAAAGTGAGGGGAACCATGTCCCCACACAGTAGTCTGGTGAGTGAACGGCGGTGGGAATGGTTTCGGATGTGGATGAGGTAATGATGGAGCGTCCGAGCAACGTATTTCGATGGGCCCTCTTTCTGCGGTTCACGACGGCCGTGGAGTAACGCCAGACGATGGCTGGAGTCTACTTGGAATTGGAGATAAGTGTCGGACTCCTTGGAGATGGAATTGATGAGTAAGAGGAGTGATGTCTCGGATAGTAGTGCTGATGGGGGGAGGGAGAGAGTGGAAGAGGGGAGGTGGCGAATTGCCCAGTCGACGTCTGAGAGCCAGCATTTCAAGCCGGAGTTTCGAAGGTTGAAGTTCTCCTGCAGTGCAAGGTGAGCATAGTGCTCAGGTCCGAGTTTTAGGAGGTAAATGAGGTAGCAAAGGGCAAGAATGACACGACGGGTACGTATGGGCATGATACCAGTCTCTTTGAAGAGAGGTGCAAGGATGGAACGACGGGATAGACCCAGCATGCGGCGGAGAAACAGCAGTTGGACTTGTTCGAGCATGGATAATAGGTGAGCGTCGGTGTCGATTGCAATTTCGCAGCCATTGATGAGATGGCAGTCCACCAGAGCAGAGTAGAGTTGTTTGGCTATTGGAGGGTCAAGCCGTTGGTGTCCAATGAGGAGATCGCATCCCGCGATGCCACCCGCAGCGGTGAATGCCGAATCGCGCTTGACCGTGTAGTGTGCCGCGAGTAGGTGACGGTGTGTGGATTGGAGATGAGCACCGACGTAGCGTACCGAATCTCGGAACGACAGGGCTTCACCACCCAGGAGGAGAATGGGCAGCGGTGAAGGCAGGCGGCCAAAGACCATGACCCAGGATTTGCCAGCGCTGATCGTGAGGTTGTTGGAATGACAGTAGAGTTCGAAGCCCCTCAAATGGGACTGTAGGCCGTGTGCAGAGCGTGAGATCAGGGCGATATTGTCGGCATGTTCGAGATGGGATATCACAATACCCAGCAGGTCGAGGTCATTGGGGTCCTGAACAAGGTTGAACGTCGAGAGGAAAATGTTCCATAAAGTGGGAGAGGAAGGGTCACCCATCAGCACCCCACACATGGCCTGGAAGCAATCGGAAATGTCCCCGTTGTGGGTGATGATATATGTCATCTGGTTGTAGAGGGACCGGAGCCAGTCGAAGTATTTGCCGGTGAGCTGATGATCAGCCAGCTTATTCCATAAGCTGCTCTGGTTCATTGAGGGGAAAGCGTTCGAGATGTCCACAAAGGCGACATAAAGGGGATCGCCTAGGGATTTTGCTTTCTCAATCAGTGTGCGTAGGATGAACACGTTGTTGTTCGTACAATAACCAGCCCTAAACCCGTTTTGGGATGCTGGGAGAATGTGAGCTTCCTCCAGAGCCTCGCTAAGTTTGAGATGTAGCAGGAGAGAGGCAAATTTGAGGATGCAGCTTTCCAAGGCAATTGCACGGTAGTTGTTGGGGTCTGCTGAATCCTTCCCTGGTTTGGGTACTGCAACTATGAGTGACACGAGCCACGATGTGGGAAATTCATTGAGTTGGAAGGCACGGTCGAAGAATGAGGCAAGGCGGTCGTTGTCGATGTCTTGAATGATTGAGTATGTAATTTGGTCAGCGCCAGTGGAGTCTGAGTGAGCCGTGCGTTTGAGATAGCTTTTTATAGTGGCGATGTCATGTTCACATATAACAGAGTTGAAAGAGGGGAAAGCTGAAGGGGGTGACGGGTTAGGGATTGAATTAGCTTGGTTTGTTTCTTGTTGAAGAATCTGTGGGTCGAAGGAAGTGGTGCGAGGGTCAGGAGGGTTCATGCGAGGGATAAAGCAGTTTGTGAGTTGTTCGAGTGTAACCCTTGGCAAGGGTTTATCCGAGTTGCTCAAGGATTTGTAGAATTTCCAGAAGGCAGCGCCGCCTGCTGCTGCTGCTGACTGAAGGCGGGACAGGTTGGTATCTTCCAGTTCTCGACGGTGGGTGCGACCACGGTTGTAGTAAAATATTAGTCACCATTATATGTCCATTTTTTCAATTTTTTCAAAGCTGGGCATAAATAAAATCCCAACTACTTTTCGAAAATATGAAGATCAAAGGAGTACTAAAATGCAAGTTCATATCCTAATTCCTTTGTGACAACTTTCAATTCAAGTCATCCTATAATTTATTAACAATCTCAAAACTACCGCCACCAAACTCTGCTTCAAGCTATCCACCAGCGCTCCAGTATAGTACATACATAGATCAGAACAAACAAGCAAGAAAGTTACAAAAAATCAAAAGAAATTTCGAGATATTCCTGACTCCCAACAGAAGTTCATTGGAGATCACCTAGTAGCATAACATTGTAGCTTGAAGATCAGTTCATTTGATTTCACAGCCTTGACTGTGAAGCCTGCTTACCAGGAATCAAACATGGTCCGCAAAGGGATGGGTGCACTTGACCCGCCTGCAAGGCTGCGTGACGTTTCCTTCGAAGCCTACACAAGGGCAGCTGACCATAAGGCACCTGCCAGGTCCTCTAGGTGACCCCTCGTCACCGTGCTTAAAGTTGGTAGTTCCGTCATTGCCAGAGGCAATAGTTTGTTCAGCAGCAGCTGTATTGGTCTCGGTGTTCGACATGATGTCAATGCTGAAGGTAGTATATCGCAGCTGTAGATGCACCTAGTGATGATCGCAGGACAATTAACGGTGCTTGTGGATTGGTCTTCATATTTATATGGTGGTTGTTCAATCAGATACATAAAAATTAATAGTAGCGTTGGCTCAATATGTTGCGCCACCGGTGCTCCATTTCCGCAACATATGATCCTAGTGCTGTGTGGAGACTACAAAGTACACATGCACAACAATGCTAACCATATTTATTCAGCTTAGTCCGGACAGCACGTACTATGGGTCTTCTGAAGGTGCGCGCTTATTATCTGACATAGTACACCCCATGGACCATTCCCAGCAAGTGTCCAGAAGTTCTCTTCCTGAGATAGGAGTGGTATTTTAGTCCAGCTTTCTTGAGAACATTGGTTCTGAATATGTCTTCATGTGATGTACTCAATGTCCCTACTCCAGTGGAGTTTTGTACTACAAACTCCTACTATTTCAATCAATTTAAATGAAGAAAATGGATACTCCGGGCTATTGAGCATCTCGCAAGCATATCACTGACACGCCTGCCTGGCCATGGTGCACTTTCTTTTGATGTATTTCCAGGACATGTAGTTGTCGATGGACAATCAAATGACCCTCGTTGTTCATTGCCTTCAATCTCCTTCGGATGTCGATACCTTGAGTTTTCTGTTGACCTTTTTCCTGTATGCAGTAGATGAGCTTCTTGGTGGAATGCAATGCAAAATCCTTTGAACATACCTCTAAATTCCTGAGACATGCTAAAATGATGGTGGAAGAACTGGAACGTTTCGAACTAATCCTCATCACAGTGTGGATATTGATTCCATTCACATTGTCAGCAGTCGATATCTCATCCTTCTTGGTTCGTGCATTCATTCAAAGTAGATCTCATGGGTGTCATGAAGGCATAGCTTTATAGTGCACATAAAAGGTGAACATATGAAAAAGAAAACAAGCAACCGGAATCGAAATACCGTCTCCCACACATTTTCAAGGCCTAGGCTTGTGAAGAGGACGGGGAAAAGGAGGATGAACCCGCCTCTTTCCTAGCTCATCCGACGATACCATTCCTTTTACACGAAGATACACAGGGATAGGTCTGGTGTTAGTAATGGGTCGAAACATGGTTTCGAGGATGCGGAGGTACAAAATGTTGAGTGGAACCTTGAACTGACTGGGAGTGGAGAGTCCAGGAGGAGGAACACCAGGCGGAAGGGCGGTAACACGTTGAAGAGTACGGTAAGGGTGTTGAAGACCGGGAGGCGTGAGAGGAATATTATCATTACGAGAACGAGGGTTTCTCAACCGACGAGCGTCATTCGCAAACATCGTGCGCATGAACTGGGGCATTGACGAGAGTACCACGTCTCGAGGATTGACATGTTGATGGGATTGCA